GCAAGTTTCAAGGTATGCCGTTGAGTATGCTCCAAACGGTCGCATCTAGACTTAACGCGTTTTGGGTTTGGGTTTCAATGATGATTAATGTACCCAAACCCAAGACTGTCCGGCAGGATGGGCGTTCCCGTGAAAGATAGCACACGAAACTTGCCAGGTACGTTCACACTAGTCCTGTGAACATATCCTGCAAGTTTCAAGGTATGCCGTTGAGTATGCTCCAAACGGTCGCATTTTGACTTCGAGCGTTTTCGGTTTGGGTTTCAATGATGATTAATGTACCCAAACCCAAGACTGCCTGGCAGGATGGGCGTTCCCGTGAAAGATAGCACACGAAACTTGCCAGGTACGTTCACACTAGTCCTGTGAACATATCCTGCAAGTTTTAAGGTATGCCGTTGAGTATGCTCCAAACGGTCGCATTTTGACTTCGAGCGTTTTCGGTTTGGGTTTCAATGATGATTAATGTACCCAAACCCAAGACTGCCTGGCAGGATGGGCGTTCCCGTTAGAAATAGCTCACGAAAGTTGGCAAATATATTCATATAGAGTTCTTATGAACACTTCCCACAAGTTTCAAGGTATTCCGTTGAGTATGCTTGCAATGGTCATATCTTGACTTCGAGCGTTTTGGGTTTTCAAAACGCTTGAAGTTAAGATGTGATTGTGTGCAACATACTCAACGACCCACCCTGCGCTTCAGAGGGTGCACTAATATTACTGTCAATAATATTAGTGCCAAGTTTCGTGTAGGGCTCTATATCGGTTTGATTTTTGAGTATCGATACAATCCGATTTCCGAAAAACGGTATCGATAATCGGCACAATCGATGAATAATCGATTATTTGGGCATTTATATACAAATTGTTATATATTAAATATGGAACACCGAAACCTGTACAATCGATAGTTTGATATTGCAATCCAATAATCGGCGATAAATACGATATATCGATAATATCGGTTATCGGAAATATCGATATAGAGCCTTGGTTTCGTGCGCTCTGACGCACGCAAACCCCTCGGCTGCAAAGCGTTTTATGCCTTGGGTCCGACGTGGGTGGGTTTCATCCCACACTAGGTTGGCACTTGCCAACTTAGCCCTCCACATCTCAGGGCGCGTTCTGATCTCTAAGCCTGCAGCACGAGCTCCACACAACCCGCAACGTTAGCTCACACAAGAAACCAAGTAAACACAAAATACTCGCTCAAGAAACGTACCACAACAGTTCAGCAGTTCACCAGTATTCGCCTACAAGGCGAATGAACGTGCACGAATGAATTGTGGGCGCTGACCATGACCTTCATCATCGACCCTACTGTAGGTTCCAAGTGTACGTTGAACGTTGTAGTCACCACGATCCACCGGAACCGGCCGGTGAGGACGATGATGGGCAGGCTCGATCGCGCGAGGTGCCCAAGTTTATATAATCGTGTATAAGTAAAAAGACGTACGAAATTCCAGCGTCAGTAGCATTACCCATTAATAAAAGGCAATTCACAACTTCGCTGCAACAGGAATCATACACCTATATATGGAATCTTCGGCGTGACGCAAGACGGCGTCTGTCACACTATTCTATTACTGTGAAGCCCGCAAAGCTCCCAGAATGAATGTTAGTGACACTGTCATCAAAGACGCCTGCGCTTGTATGAGCTGCAACAGGAATTATACAATCTGTGGGAAGCGGGATCGGCGTCAGTCACACTATTCTTTTAGCATTCCATTTACATTGCGAAGCCCGCAAAGCTCCCAGAATGAAAGTTGGTGACACCATCATAAAAAACGCCTGTATGGGCTGCAACAGAAATTATGCATACATACATACATGCATACATACATACATGCATGCATATCCTTTTGGCGCTAAACGTCGTCAAGCCTGTCACACTACTGTATGCTAACCTCTGCTCCTCGTATGATTTGGAACCAGGCCAAATTACTTAATCATCACATCGAAGGCAGCAGCAGCAAAAAGAAAGCGCGAACGAATCCAAACGACACAGACGAACTTCCGATCTCACGATCGCCAGACGCTAACGATGACAGTACCGCGAGTCGCGTACATTTACCGCGACGCCACCCCACGAAGTTATGGCATGGCATGTTGGGGTGCAAAAGCGAAGCACTGTCGCGCACATGATCCTACGGTCAGATGGCCAGTGGAGATCTCTTTTTGAGATCGATCCGCCTAGTAAAGATTGCGAAGCCCGCAATGCCGCAAAGCTCACATATAAATGAAAGTTGGTGACACTGTCATCAAAGACGCCGATGCGATGTGGATGTGGGCTGCAACAGAAATTATACACACCAATGGCGCGACGCGAAATACTCTGCCAGCTCTTTCAAAATCGGTCATCACGTTCGATCGGCCATCACCTTCAAAACTTAAAATTCGAAACTGGAAACTTACATATGAAATCGGTGGTGGGAAAAAGTGAAATAATCTTGGTATAAATTCAATGGTGGGAAGACTGTATAATGAAATTCAGTAGCATACAAGTTCTGAAATTCCTGTAATTCCTATAGTGAAATTCAGTATGCTCCTGTATAGTGAAATTCGGTATCGAGTATAAATACAGCGGTGGGAGGATTGTATAGTGAAATAATCTGAGTAAAAATTAAGTGGTGGGAAAACTGTATAATTTGTACCTTGGATGGGGAAACGTGAAATACTTGATTATATTGTAGGTACATCTTGCTCAAACGATTTATATCTTCCGCAGATCGAGTGCAGTCGAGAAGCGGGAAACAGGCTGGGGATCGACGGTAGAGTTCAAAATTTATTTGACTAAATGGACGACGATAAAGGGCAACATCTATCACAAACATTGTCAAGCACTGCTCAACATTAATAACAGGATCGACCTGCTATGCTATTTCCCCTTGTACAAGATACGATGTGGAGACCGCTTTTCCCCGACCGGGGCATCTATGACGTGGACCACTCAGCGGGCTGTATTTGAAAGAACAAGAACGGGAACAACATTGGTGTTTTTGTATAATTATAGAGATGCGCCCTCGCTGGATAGGGCTTCAGCAAATCACGAAATATAATTATACAACGTGACATAAATGGTACATGTATGATGGGCATCCCAGCACGGTATAATAAGAACAGTCGTCGAAAAGTCTTATACCTGACTATATCGAGTTCCATTTCTTCTTCCTCCCTGATGCAAATCATCGTAACGCCGCTTGGGTGCACGTTGTTTATGCGGAACCCAACCAGACATTATAAATATACAGGCGATGAGTGCCACAGACAATATGCTAAAAAGTGTGCCGCGATATATACCAGCGCGTATGGATGGCATAAGTATAATAAGTAATTTCCAGAGGGTTAACAGTGCCAGTCACGTCTTGTTGGTATAAATATACACATAAACATGAAGACGTTATACTGTAAAGTGAACACTGCTAAGTCCGGAGCTAATCGAGCTTGCATACGCACAAGTTCTGCTACGGTTTGCATAGCAACGTTCTAGTTTCCGCCCGGTGAGACGTATACCCGCGCGTGGTTGTATGCAAGGAGTTGTGGTGCAGAATGAGAGCAAAACACGGTCGATGTGAAACAAATACAGATGTGTCAATCTCACAAGCGTCAGCAACGACGCTCGGATTGATCATATGATTAAAATCTGCGCGGATGAACGCTCGGACAGATCATATAATTAAAATTTGGAGGCGAGGATGAAAAAGTATTACCCTCAAACCTGTAAGACTGAATATCCGAGTCATCATCGACATCTATATCCTTCGTGTATAAATGCTCAAAAATGAAATGATGTAATATATCCACCCTGTTAGTAAATCAGGGGATATTAGTATTTCCCCTCTCCCACCCCCTTCAATAAGGGACCTATTTGCTGCACCCACGTACGGCATACATCTTGTCTAAATGCAATCGATACTCATGAGGAAGGAAATGAGTATAGGGAGAGGAAGAAGATACTAATAAATGTGCAAATGGAACTGAAATACTTTGAACAAATTATGCCAATCATGTAAATTGCAAGCAACAAGCAAGTGGTTATATAAGAGTTCACGGATAACACCATTATGCGTCTACCATACTAAGAAACCTACATAAATAGTTATGTCTCTTTGCCGGCATTGGTAGTCTTTGGAGCCCAAGACATATTGCCAATGTAGTAATGCAAATGCCCATTGACTCGGTCGATGCTGGAATTGACGCTACGACTAGTTCGTACAGTCTAGTGTCATTCCTGTATGTCCGATCTTCGGTGGTCAGCCTGTGTCACTCATCTCGGGTATATATCGTTTGTATATCCGAGTTTAGTGATCCGTTGTTTCACCGTCGGCAGCGGGTCCCCACTGCCTGAGCTGCTGTTTCCAGCAGTCGATTTCGTAATTAAATACTCGATTACCCATGAACTTGTGGACGGCATAAACAAAGAAGAGGAAAGCAAAGGGATCTCTATGTCTCTCAATGACACACGGAATGCGCGGTGCATACCACCCCGAGAATGAAGTATCACAAACTGTCCAACAATAAGGATCGGCAATATTCGTTTGATGTGCACGTTGGAGCAAGCCGGTATACAACGAGTATAGATGGTGTGTCTCATTTGGTGCAAGATAAGGGTCCTTCTTCACCGGACATGTCCCCCGATCATAAGGTGAGCAAAATCGAGGCGACAACCTATCAAAATCTTTCGTGACGGTATGGTGTCTCACGATATAGTCAATAAATTGTGAAAACAAAGAAACATTCCGGTTGATGAACGGTCCAAACTCCTTGAAGAATACATTCACACATGCGGCTACGATCCCCTTAGAATTGTCGGAATGAAGCCCCCATGCATCAAGTGGGGACATGCAATGTGACTTCCCATAAGTGCTCGAAATTCTGTGCACAAAGGATTTATTAGCATTCTTACCAAGTATCGGGTAATGGGAACAGCATTGGGATCAGGTGTCAAAAGGGTTCGAGATCATTCTATGATAGCTTGAAAGGCACCAAATTTAATTTCGAGCAAATTGTGAGGATTGAACTCACGACCTCAGGTTTACAAGACCCGCGCTCTACCACTGAGCTAAACTTGCTTTTCCATGTGTGAAGGCATTACTATTGAAATCATGTTCTCAAACTACTTTAGTTTATTCTCAATAGGAACCTTTATATACTGTTCAGAGTTCTTCAGCTCGTCCCATGACTCTCGCATGCATGCGCTCCCAGCCGACGCATCGAAGGTGCCATCTCACTCGACTGAGACACGACACGGACACGGACAGCAGCAGCACACGACAGTTCCGAGTCCGTTAGGTGCGAAGTTCAAGTTGCTCAGGAACATTTTCAAGGCTCAGTATCGGAAATCTGTTGTGGCTTTCAGGAGGTACTTCTCGAAAATTGTGGTTGACTGTCAGTAGCACACCCTCGAAAAATGAGCGAATCCAGTCAGTTTTACAGTGCAGATCCTTACACACCTCTCACAATCAGTACTGCAGGTAACCTTCACAATGGCATGCTTATCGTGTTCAAACCCTGTGAGGTGCACTTATTAGAACGGAGTTTATGTAAACCAGGAAAATTCCAAGCAGAACCAATGAATGCCAACATTTTTGTATGCTTGACTATAGTGCTTGCGCAAGTTTTCAACGTGCATGCGTGACTTCAGTGCTAGCACAACTTTTCGGTGTGCTTCGCGCTAAATCTGCGACACTGCGAGAAAGGCGCTTCTGTTTGTTGCGTTCTCTGTCGGCAAAACTTCTTCACACGTAACGGCGCACACTGTGGAAAACCGTGGTTGAATTGGCGGAAATAATGGAGCTGGCACAACTTGTAGTGAGGCGACTCCGTCAGCGTATGGGTTGTCCCCGTAAAAATCCACGTCAACCTTTGCTGACAAATGTCCTTCGCAGGGAATGGGAGTAGAGATACAGGAGCCACATCACCAAGTAAAATGAGAATCAAGCAACTGAGCGAAAGGCTTCACGACCTCTCGCATGGCCTCGAGGTGCGTGCATGCTTGTCGGGCGGTTTTGAACCGCCCGTAGTTGGAACAGGTGCACGAGAGCTTCTTATGCTGTGTTTCAGGAGGGATTCAGCATCCGAAAAATAATTTTAGGAAACCGAGTGTGCTACCTCATATGAGGAATGGGTACAGGCAAGAATGGTGTCGGAGTCACAACCCTCTCCATCAGGTTGCAGCAAGGCTCCTTAAAAACCGGGTGAAGCCGTCGTGTCTGCAGTTGTCCCTCGCGTGGAATTATTTGGCTCTGCTTGCTCTCTTCTCACTTGAGAAGCATATCCCTTGTTCCCTACCTTTCCCTCCAAATCGACTACCCTCTTCATGCGTGCCGATGTAATAAGTTCGGAAGATAGAGAAAGGTTCATAAGACGCCTTTGCGGCTTGGCCTCTGATGGTATAATAAGAGATCCGAATTTCAAGATTGAATCGTCTAGGACAGCGCCGGGCGTTCGCTATTTCTCTCTATCACCCAGCTTTGAAGACTCTGCCTCGTTCCGAGAACTCTTGGCAACCGTTGAGCTTCAAACTGATGCAGGATGAAAAGTTTGCGAGGCGAGAAGCGCTCGAAGCCCAGATAAAGCAACTGGAGGAGAGGCTGGCCCGCACTCAGGTACACGCCGACCGCACGTCGCCACCGCTTAAGTCTGCGGTGCTTTTGTGGTCGCTCCCCAGTGTCGAAACTCTGGAGCTCACAGGCGGTTTGACTGCTTGTCAGCTGCACAACCACTGGATGGCACGAGAGTTATTGTGTCGGTCTAAAGGAGCTTTGAAACTCGGGAGAGGTGGGCGCAGATAGCCGATGACACAAAATTCAAGCTCCTGAAGGACCAGATTTCGAAGCTCAGCGAGGTGCGGCAACAGCGGAATCACCGAGCGACGAAGTTTGCTGTGATTAATCTTCGGAGAGAGATGCCGCTTTTCAGAGGCCTGAAGTCTACCGCCTGGAAACTCTCCTAGGCTGCTTCCAGTCATGCGATACACGTCGCGGTCGCTCCCCACTGAAGTGAGGATGAATGAAGAGGATCCCGCGTCTTTGCGCTTGAGCTCGACGTGCAATAGTGGCTAGTGCTGGCCGTGCACTACAAAAGGGAGGGGCCCGTGCTGCGCGTGTTATGATAGTGGCTGGCCGTGCACTACAAAAGGGAGGGGCCTGTGCTGCGCGTGTTATGAAGCTGATTCACGAATTGATGCAGGGTCTCTCGACGGAGCGCATAGCGCGAGAAATTCTCGACGAGCGCAAAACTAAGGAGTTGAAGCTCGTGGAAAGCAGTGTCACTCTTGATCTCAACGTCGAAAAGCAGGTAATCAATCGTGTAGTGTTATCTTCGCAGTACCTTTGGGGGTTTTCCCGCCCGGCCGGGTCCCTGGAGCTTGCCGGATGCCAGCAACTGCTCGTACTCATCGCTTCGTTACCCGGGTGGTATCCGGGTGGACTTCGCTCTGTGGTCGACCGAACTGGCAAGGGAATCAACACACTTGCTCAGACGACGCTTTACGGACTTACGCCCTTTCTCCCGTCGACGATTCACAAGTTCAAATGCCATCCTGCAGGCGCGCAAGGAGGTACAAGCTAAACTGGTGAAGCTGAATGAAGAAAAAGGCTACGGCCTTCGCATCGAGGTATGCTGCTCGCAGGCTTGCCCACCCGGCTGGACACTTTCAGTGGACCCCATGAGGAGTGCGGCGATATAGTTTTTGAGGGGGGGGGGCCGGATGCGGGCAGCTGTCGAGGGAGAAAAAGCTTCGGGATGAGGGGGAGGAGCGCCGGATGCGGGTGCTGAACGAGGAGCTGGTACGCTTGGCTGAGGAGGCTGAAATCGAGCGCCGCAACAGGGAGGAGCGTGGCGATAATATCTTCAAAAAACTCATGGAAGAGGTGGCTCGTCTGCAGGGTGTGCTCGTCAATGAACGCAAGGTGGGCATCGCGAGGGCAACTGGCTACAGACCGGATGCACATGCCTCCAGCAGTGTTGTGCTCTGCCTGTCCTTCACTGTTCTTGGAGGCACCGAAATCTCTGGGCGTGGTCCGGCTGGAGCCTATTGTGCCTTTCCGGCCTCTCCTCCAAATTGAGTTGTGTTGGGGGTTTGCGCAGATGAGAGAGCAAATGGAGAGCTCAATGTTGAAAATGCTGGAGGACGTATGCACACGGCTGCAGACGGACATTTCGCAGCAACGAAAAGAGCGAGAGAGTGCGCACTCATTGTCCCGGCTCTCTTGTACTGCGTGCTGAGGATCATCCTGCACGGCAGTCCGTCTGCCCATTCCATCAGTGCCACTCTTTGCTGTTGCAAGTTCCTGTTATTCGCTAGCGTGCTACCACTTCTGCCTCCCAGTGTGCTGCTTCTGCATTGTGCATGACGGTGCCGTGGAGCAATACAGCGTGCATGAGTCAGCTCTGTGCAGCGAAGTGGCGCGTGCATATTTGTCTTCTGGAGCGATATGGCACATTTGTGTCGGCATTTTTGCCGCCTGGCAGACACCGCACCAAAATGCGCTTGCTCTGCTTGATCTGAGTGCTGGTACGCGCGCAGTGCACGCCTCCAGGTGAACGTGCTCGGCAGTGTGTCATACATGCGGCAACGTGCCGTGCTGCTGTTACAGGAAGTGTGTTATTATGGCATTGCCCTGCCGCCGTCTTGCATGCTTATTTCCCTTACTGTATTGCTTGTTTGGGATACCTTTGGTTTGTGTGCTTCACACCACACAGTGTGTCAGTCCTGTGTCCTTATATTGAGTCTGAGCATACCACACAGTGTGTCAGTCCTGTGTCCTTATATTGAGTCTGAGCATACCACACAGTGTGTCAGTCCTGTGTCCTTATATTGAGTCTGAGCTGGAACGATTGCAGATATGGAGGAGTCTATGCTGAAGCTGCTTGAAGAAACAAGCTCACGAGTAGAAGCAGGGCTACACGTTTAATTCTCCCAGATGTTTTCAAAAATATGTATAGAATGCACCATATACCTCTTGGGAAAGAGTTTGGCACACTCGAAGGAGAGTGCACGAGCGGTGCTGGTGAGTGGTATTCAGAATTCTACATCAGGCATGACTGCTGTCCAGGGGAGGATTAACATTTGGTCAAACAGGAGATCCAGTCACAGCAGTTGGAAGTGTCGTGTGATAAAGTGACACTCAAAGATTTTGATTTTTCATTCATGATAGTGCCCCAAGAATTCTATGCAGTAATGTGTTTAGGGAAGGCCATAATGAGAAACTCCCGACGCATCTTCCGGGTGGAATGCACGAAAAGTAAATGATCCATTAGGATATCCCCCTCCAATGCTTACAAGAGATTGGCCAATTCATGAAAAATACCGTTGATACAAATTTCAGACAACGGACAACAACAACAGTCCATTGTGTGAATTGTCCACGAAAAATCAAGCAACAGTTTTCAGAAGGGCAAGAGGGGAGAAGATGCAACCATTACATAAATGATGGTTGTAATATCAACACATTTACACCCACAACAAAATTCGAAATTTGCAACGTTCTAGATTTCGAAGCCTCAAGTTTCAGAAATCTAAACTTTATTCTTTACAAGGATAGGAACTAGTGTACGTGGTGTCGAGAAAATCATTTCGGTATGATTCAGAACCCACATTTATATGCAACGCGTCGACCAGCTGTTGTTTCCAGGTTCCAAGCGCGCGGATCTTAGGTCGGCGTCAGCTTCCGAAACCTGGTTTCCCGCGAAATACGGCTCTACCACTTCCCACTCATTGGACTTTAAAACCTCACGTGTCCCTCGAATGACCTCATGAATGGAGCCGCATGTGTCCCTCTTACCTGCATGCACCATATCACTCCCCCCCTTTCTTTTCAAAAGAGAAGCCTACTCAGCAAGCATAGTGGCATGGCTAGGTATTGGCAGTGCCAGGAGACCAAGCGAGTGGCGAACAATCTGGCGGTCTCCTCCCGTCGCTGAGTCATGCGCAACACTGTCCCCGCCAGTCCCACCAGCGCGATGTCGTCCAACACACTCCTTGCTACGTCGGCCAGGAAAGGCGCATTTCAGTCGGCTTGAAATGGCCACTAACTCCTCCCCTCTTAGCTTGTCAGTACCAGGAGGT